AGGCCTACCAGCTTTCTCTTGCTAGATTTGAAGGCGCTACAATTTATGCGTACTAGTACGGCACCAACCCTGGTGTGCAAGCCATACTACTATGGCACCAGCCCTGAAAGGGTTAATATATGGATTAGCTAAAAGTACTGGTAGCAATAGCCACACTTGAGGATAACTTTCAGTAGGAAGTCTGTTCTTGGTTAGTGCTGCGAGAATCAGGAAATATTTTTAACCCTTTCAAGGTTGGTCCCGTAAAATTAATACGGCTTTGAAACCAGGGTCGGTCCCGTAAAACTACACCAAAATTCTAGCGGCTTCCAATATTATGGGAGAAAGCTAGTAGGCCTACATATGAAAATGGATCTGCGTGGTCAGTGTGAGCAGTACAAAAAATCCTGCAGCACGCAGTGCATAATGAGAAAAAATGCAACTTTTTGGCGTAAAATAGCAACTTTGCGGTGTATTTTTATGGTTTTGATAGTTGTATTCTCAGCTTCTTTGTCTCATTTGATAGAATAGAAAATATATTACAGAAATAGAGGTGATTTTAAATGGTTTATGGACTAAAAGTAGCTTGAAATTGAGCTCAAATTAGCAGCAATGTTTGATTTTTCCCCATGTTCAAGAGTAAACAAAACACATCATGCGTCCAGTACATGTCGACTGGCCGGTCTGATATATACTGCCGAGTGCACTAACATTATTTATACAATTATTACCATTATGCAGTAGTCTGAATAACAGTAAATCTTCTATTTTTTGTGTGAATAAAAATTCAAAATGAAAAGTAAGTGTAATATAAGAGGGGTCTAGAGACATGACTAATGAACAGAGAAAATGTTATTTTAGTGCCAGGAATGTCTACATGATTTATTCTGGACCCTATTTTGAAATTGGCCTTTCTTGAATTTTGTGTGAAATTGGCCAAATTAGTAATTTCTGATCACATTTCTGGGTAGTTGAAATACGTAAATGGGCAGTTTCTTATACTCGGTTGATAGAATAAAAGTTCTATATGTGAAAGTTTTAAATGTACACAAAAAAAAAAAAGTATGATGGTGTGCTGAGAAGAGGTTGGTGTTACTTACGTAATGTAGGTATATTTGCACTTTGTACAGTAAGTGTGTTAACCACTCGGTATCAGCTAAGAACAAAAATATTTTAAGGTAATTCTTCAAAAAATTATTATTATGTCTTTGGTCTCTTGGTATGTATATGTACTGTTGTGTCCTCTTCAAGTGGAACTTCGGACAGCTCAGTTCATAACATATCCTGGCCACTAGTGATGACACCTTTTGGTGAACATACAGGAGGGCCCCGCTTATAAAGCAGGTTAGGTTCTGGGCTCCCTATGTCAAGTGAAAGTCACTCTAAAGTGAAACGGCATTTTTTTCACTTTTAGATGCATATAAAAACTGATAACTTGTTTACACTGTCATTTATTAAGTGAGAAATAGAGCTAGGCCTAAAAATGCATATACAGTACACACATTACTTAGCATAGGGAAGAGATATGTCAAAGAATCTTAAGAAATACAAGGAATAATAATAGGAGATACAATACACACAATGGCAATGCAGCACAGCAAACCAGCACTTCACACACCAGGGCCCGGGGCCAAACCTGCAACATCCATAATACAGGTCATTCTGGAGGGACTGTTAAAATGTACACCAAGAGACATATTACTGTATGGTTTATACCAGATAGATTAAGGAGTGCCTCCGGCAAATTTCCGCGCGCGCTCACCGAAATATCGGAAAAATATGGATAGTGAGTTATATATACTGAAAAATAGCTCAACTCTTTGGCAACACAATGGTACCAGAATGAATGTTCTACGACGTTTCTACAAGAAATTACAGTCATTTATATGAGGTAAGGTGACGGTGATATTGGTAGCGAGTCTGCTCACAGCCCATATATATTTTGGAAATTTTTCCTTGTTTTTTATCGCTTTTTCTTGCATTATACTTTCTAATATAATAACTGAGTACTTGGCATCATAAAACTGAAGGCGGAGCTTATCCTAGATTGAGCAACAGTCTTAATCATATCATTAATGCGCGGAAGGGTTGCCGCGCCAGGAGAAATCACTTCATTATTACGCTTATATCAGCTTATATATCAACTCTACAGCTTATTTATCTATCAGATTGTTCTAATATGATATAATAAACACTCTAATAACATACAAACATGTTATATACTCTAGACTGAAAAAAATAGACCATAATATGGCGAAAGATTATCGGAATATTTCGATAAATATTGAGTTACTGCTCTCCATGTCGTCTCCGTGTCGTATTCTTTGGTCTCTGAGTAAGAGAAAACGGTGTTTTGAAGAGGATAACTGCACTAGAACATCAGTTTACTAAGAAATACACCCAAACAAACGCGATTTTCGCGAAAAAAAAAAACTTTTTTTTTTGAGACGGTGGGCCGGCCGGCGTTCTAGGCCTATATCTCGGAAGTAACTTATTCCTCTACAGTTGCTATTTCTGCATTTATTACTTAATTAAATGGAATAATATTCACAGAAATTGTAGAATAATGGTTTCTCTAATTTTGTTAAAGGTAATTTTGGAAATATTCAAATACTTTCGGAGTTATGTGGGAGTAAAGGGCAGATTTTTTGCAGTATTCCAGGAACTAAAAAAAAATTTTTTTTTTTTTTATATAAAGATAACGTTATTTAGAGAAAAGGCGTTGCCTAAAATTAGTTTAAGCATTGCTCTCTCGGCACCAAGTGTCCAAACAACCTTACGATGTCCCATATAGGAATGATTTTTGAGACAAGGACATTTTTCAGAAAATCAGTCTTTTTCAGTCTTTTCTCAGTTGTCGTTTGAGGTATATTTTTGATAAATATTTTCAAGAATGAGTGAAAACACTTTGTCTTGTGCACCAAAACTGGAGGAAATCGGACGGTAAACAAAAAAGCTACATTTTTTTGCCGGAGGCACTCCTTAACAAAAGCCAGACATCCTTTCCCCCCCCCCCTCCCCAACATTCAGGGATCGAAAACGAGTAGCAATACCCCCATCACACTCGTATGCATGGAAAAGTTTAAAGGTGTTACAAAATGGCTCGACACTCATATGTTAACCCTTTCAGGGTCCAGTCCCCCAATCTGAAACTTGTTCATGGGGTCTAAGAATTTTCAAAAAAAATTTTTTATTTTTCTTATGAAATGGTAGAGAATCTTCTTCTGAAGATAACAAAACAAAAAGTACGAAATTTGATAGAAAATTGACAAAATTTTGGTATTGTGAATTTTACTGCATCAGCGATATTTACACATTGGTGATTTTGCCCACTTTGACTCCCATTTTAGGCCAGTTACATTCCAGTTGACCAAATTCTTAGCTGTTTCACTAGTATTACTTCTATTTTATTGATTGAGCAAAGGAAACTGCACAATCAACTTTCAACTACCCAATAAAGTGATTGGAGATTGGCAATTTGACCAATTTCACACAAAGTTCAAAATATTCCAATTTTAAAATAGTCCAGAATAAACAATGCAGGCATTCCTGGTGCTAAAATAACATTTCCTCTGTTTATTAGTTATGTTTCCAGGCTTTACACATGAATTCCATTTTGATTTCTTATTCACATAATGAATTTAGAAGATTTACTGTTATGCAATATTGTAATAATTGTATAAATAATATCAGTGCATTTGTGAACATGTATTAGATCCACCAGTTGATGTGTATTGGATGTGTTATGTTATCTGTTTACTCTGGAACGTCGGCAAAAATAGAACATTTCCGCTACTTTGAGCTCAATTTTAAGCTATTTTCAATACTAAAACCAATCAAAATCATCTCTATCTCTGTAATGTCTTCTGTTCTATTAAATGAGACCAAGAAACTGCAAATACAACCGTAAGAACCATTTGAAAATACACCACAAAGTCACTGTTTTAATTGAGAAAACACGGTTGCATTTTTTTCTCATTATGCACTGTGTGCTGCAAGATTTGTTTTACATGGTGCACACTTACCACATAGATCTATTCTCTCATCTAGGCCCAAATTTACCACTCGAAGCTTATTTGAGTGAGCTGAGCTCATGACTTAGTACTATGGCTTGGGCCCCTCAAAGGATTAAGTTGCGAAGGAAGGTGAATGATAAAAATGTGCTTTTTCAGAGATCAAAGTAACTGTAATTCTTATTTAAAAAAAATAATGTGAAAAAAAATCTAATGTTAAACAGTGGTTGATTTGTTTTTTAGTAGGCCATAGAGTGATTGCCAGAGAGGGGAGGGGAAGAATTAGGGCAGTAGATAACAGTAAAAAAGATTGAGTACACTGAAAGAGCAGGATAAGAAAAGTCAGTGGCTGGACGACTTTGGTCAGGTTCTCAGGAAGTAATTTTTGTCACTGACTTGTAGTTATAGAACAGAGGTTGGCAAATTTTTTTGAGTATTACCCCAAAACAGATTTGTGTACAGTAAAATTACCCATTAGACTTTTCCACAGAATCCGGGAAAACAAAAGGAACATTCAAATTTTATTTGTGGAGCCATAATTGAGGAACTCTTCCTGGTATATCCTTTTCCTGTTTGATGTCATCTGAAGGGTAAAAGTGAAAATGATTGAAAAACAGATGGATAATATGATTTTAGCATATTATATAACTTAAACATTGTTACTCATAAGCACCAGGATCCAGCCGTTGGAATCCTTACCTGTTTTACATTGTTCCTAGCTTAAGAAATGGTCCTTACAAATTAGGTTTTTTATTTTATTGAGAAAAAAATTATTTGTTTGAAAAAATATAACTCTTATATTTTACATCTCATTAAATAATAAATTGTTGTGCAATTTTATTTACATGTTTATTGGGCCTTCATTACCCCCAAGATTTTCATTTTCACCCCATTTGGGTAATTTAGCGTGGTTCCCTGATCTCTGCAGTGTAGAACCAAACTCTCAACAATTTTGATTTTTATGTGACGCTAGTCTGTGTATTTTTTAAACTTTCAGTTGTATTTCAGGAACAGATTTCGACCATTGCGTTCTAGTATTACTCCGGGAACGGTGTGTATCCTCGTTGCTGGTCCCCATAGAGGAAAGAGAGTAGTTTTCCTGAAGCAGCTGGCTCGTGGCCTCTGCTTAATTACAGGTTGGTTGACATTTGTTATAAGATTTAATGTTAAACTGTTAATATTAATTAGTGTGCTAAGGACAATTTCTTGTCAACAGTGTTATATTTCATGAAGGGCCATGGTATTTGCTAGTCTTCTGTAAATGCCTTGCACTGAAGGAATTGAGGATGTTTCAGTTTAGATTTTCTAAATTGTCAAGACAGCAATTGCATGAATTACCATGAATGTTTACTCGTTTTTGAGGTCACCCTACTTTGGATGTTAAATTTTTATACCTCGACAGCTGTCTCATGCTAAGGCAAAGTGACCCAAGGAAGTTGTTAATTCAAATCACTATTGTACCAAGTTTCTTGACATCACAGATGAGATTACTACCCCTTCAGAGTGTAGGCTTCGCACCTCCAAGCTTAAGTTTCCCAGAATGCCTTCATAATTTACCTTGCTCACACTCCAACAACTCATTTGTTAAAAAACCACTTGTCTCCATATTTGCCTGTTTGACACACTCAAGCCAACTGGATGCTTAAGCAGGATTGCTATGAATGGCAAATGTGTGAATATTTTGTAACTGCTGGTGCAGACACTGTCAACAACACACCACCTAATGTCCCTTATTTAAGCAAATCTTCATCTATCAAAGATGTGACATGCACCTGTACAGTATTACCATTTAAATTGGTTTTCCTTCATGTCTGAAGGAGAAAAATAATTTTGCAAATACCAATGTTGCTAATACTGTTGGCTCACTATACAGTTTATTTCAGGAATATGCTTAGCAGACTAAATTCACTTCAAAAAAAAGTTTTTTTTTGGGATTGTCTGAAAAGTTCAGTTTGCTTCTGTGGTTTATTGTAGACGTTACAAGTCAAAATTGCATTACATGAGGTTCCTCAGTGCATTAGTAGTAATTTGTTGGTAATTTTAAATTTAATTTTAGTAGTTATGAAAGCTGATTCATGTTATAGGATTTCTTTTGTATCAGATTTCTTTTCATTTTGGCAATCAGACATTGAAAGTCAAAATTCCTATTAAATTTTGTTTTGTTTTTGTTTTTAGGTCCTTTCAAGATCAATGCTTGCCCCCTGCGACGTGTCAATCAGATTTATCTTATTGCCACTGCCACCAAGATTGACATTAGTGGCTGTGACATCCCCAAGCACATAAACGATGAGTACTTCCGCCGGGTCAAGGTGAAGAGAGCAAAGAAGGAAGAAGGTGACATCTTTGAGCAGAAGAAAGAGGTATGAGTGGCTTTAATTTTGATTTTCCCTGACTATATATTTTATATATAAGAACTTTATGGATTTGTATAGTATTATGAATTGATTTTTGTCAGTTATGTAGTAACTGTTGAGGCTTCATAATTTGAATAATATAAATACTTGATATCTTGGAAATTAGCAATGGTTGTATAGTCACCAGAAGCTAGTAATGTAAATGATTTACATGAGCCAGTGGAAGAAACATTAAAATTGCATGTGGGGAGGAAGCAAAGCAACATGTGAAAATAGTATATAGCATGTTAATGGTGTGAAGTGGAGAAAATGTAGATTATCACATAGTACTGCAGATAGGATATCCATTAAAAAACTTTTGATGAAAAGATATACCTTGTTTTTCTTCGCTGGTAACATTTCCATGGGCAACACTTTTTTTTAATGTCTCATTTACATTGATCATTTAGTGACTCCAGGGGTCACTTAGGTAGATCCTCCTTTAAATTCTAGCAGCCTGAAATTTGGAGCAAGTGGCTTGATAGGCATAGATACTAGAGAACAGGCCTGTGCAGTATACAAAAAATGGGGGCTGCTGCAGTGCCTTGAGAGAGAATGCCATCTTAGTATACTATTATTAACCATGCGGTGTGCTCTCAAAAGCCTCACTCCCAGGTGAATTGAACATGTATTATTTCCCAGGGACAGCTCCAGCAATAAGAATTGTGGAACTGAGGATAAGCTCTTCGGTTTTGAACATTTAATGATGGAAAGTGACTCATGGTATGCCAGCAGTAGCACTGAAAACTGATGACTCGCACCCATTCTTGTCTGGGGCTAGTTTGTCTGGAAGATCCACTATGCCATAAGCAAAAGCTTGTGTTCTCCTGTTACTTTGGCACAGATAAGAGTTATGGTGATGATAGTGATGCAAACTTAGGTTTCCTATCAGTGACTGGTCATGAGATAGTCATGAAAGTTATTTGCCTGTTAAGTGTCAATATATATGATGCTGCATGCAGTCTGGTAGTGTACCCACTGGCAACATAAAGATATTGAAGATGGTTGATTGATTGGTATGGGATGTAGGTACTGGCTCTTGCTGTGTCTTGCAGTGGCTGGTGGGGCAAAAGTGGGTGGCACCAGCCCAGGCTGGGAGCTACACCCATACCCAACAACCTATGGCCACATTCACCACAACCAGCTGCAAATATCCAGCTGCCACCACCACTAGCCTGCATCTGGGATTAGAAAGATGATGCACATTTTGTAAAGTTGATACAGTTTAGTCCAGTCCAACTGTTCCCTCTGGAATGATGCCAATTAACTTATATTCATTGAATTACATTCCAATGGACCCTGATGCAAATTATAGTGAAAGAAACCAACGTATTTCTAGTATATACAGTGGAACTTTGGTTGTTGACTGCATTACTTGTCGAACAAATCAGTTTTCGAAAGAGGAATTTGAGAAAAAATGTCCTGGTTTTTGTACATTCTCTTGGTTGTCGACTGACAGTGCGAACGGCTCTGGTCACATGCTCACTAACTCAAGTGCTTGTAAACATCTCTTGAGCTTCTCTTGTGCATCTTGTGAACTTTTTTGTATTTTGCAGTTTTGGTACAATCTTTTTTTATTGAGATTAGCCATCATAGGTCCAAAGGAGGACAATTTCAGTATCGTCACCAGCTTGAGGCTTATAGACAAAGCCTGGGGGAATGTGTGTTCCAGGACCATGCAGTCTGTATTGTGGCCAGGGATTTTGAAGGCCCTGAAGATGGACCTGAGCCAGTAGAGGATGATGTCCCTGGGGAAGACCTTGGACCTAGAGGTAACTGATGTGTAGTTGGTGGAGGAGCATAGAAGTGAACTCACCACAGAAGATCTTGTAGACTTTCAGAAGGAGCAGTAACAGATTACAGCAGAGGAGTTGTCATCAGACGAAGAGGAGGGAAGAGATGATGTGTCCATTGCACTGTTAAGTAAATGTGTGCTAAATGGCGTGAAGTTCAGGAGTTTACTGAAAAATACCATCCAGACCAAGCAGTGGCCATCTGTCTCTCTAACATGTATAATGACAGTGTAATGTCTCAATTTAGACAAGTGTTAAAACGGATCCTGAAACAAACCTCACTGGACAGGCTTTTAGTGAGAGAGAACCAGTGAGCCAGAACAAGGTGTTAATTGTGAAGAGAGACAAAGAAGAGAAAACACCAGAAGCACAGTTGCCTGATATATTAATAGAAGGCAATTCTCCTTCCCAGCAGTAACATAACCCCCTCCTCTCCACCTGCTTCCAGTATGCCATTAGTGCACTCCAGTGACAGATAGTCAGTTAATTTTTCATTAATATACAGTATTTCAGTTTCTTTTACTGTTAATTTTTACAGTAGTACATTTTTAATAAATTATTATATTGTCATTTGGGGTCTGGAACGGATTAATTCTGTATGGGAAAAATTGCTTTGGTTGTTGAATTGACATCTGGAATGAATTAAGTTTGACTACTGTGGTTCCACTGTGATGGCAAGCACGTTGGTTTCACCAGTCATGGCTACACCAGCAGAAAGACAGTTATAGCCGAGATAGAACTCGTCTTTGCTAAAATAATGCTTATATCACGTATATAAGCATAATATTTCATCATACCGGTTGACTGACATCCTTACACATACCTCCAGTATTTAATGATCTCATACCCTTCAGATTTATCCTGTTGCTACATATGCTATACTTCTTGGGCAAGATGAGACCTGACAGGAAGGTTGTGTTATGCAAGATTAGATGTTTTTATGTACATTGGACCCTCAGTTAACGATGCCATCAGATAGCGATAAAATCAGATACCGATACGTTTTTGCATCAAAACATTGGCTCGGCTAACAAAAAGCTCAGTTAAGGACATTAATCCAGAACGTGTCCGCACAGCTTGAGCTGCCCGGCCACTCCAGTGTGCCATTCTTTACAAGCCACTGCGGACAATTCCACGCGTACATGTGATACATTTTGTATTCCATTGTTTTTAGTGCTTGTAACTACTAAAAAAAAAAAAAAAAAAAAAAAAAAATACTAAACATGCCACCATGGGCCCAAGGAAAGCTAGTGCTGGCCAGCCCTTTGGTAAAGGGCTGATAGAGGGGAGAATGTGCCTTTTTCAGTGATTCTGCATTATGTACGATACTAAAGCAGCAGGAGTCTATGAAGGCTATAGCTGCAGCCAGCGATAAAGTGTAACATTAATTGTAGCAAGTAAGTTAAGCGATTAATCGATAGAAAAAGGACAGCACGAACCTAACTCCTCCAATGTTGTTGGAATTATGTAGGGCGACTGACAACACCGCCATTTCTATCGCCTCCCTCCACCACTATGTACGGCTTATGCTTTCAGTGGCCCTAATACACCCAAGAACAACACGGCAACACTTGCGACATACTTAATGACGTATTTTATTCATTTTAGAGAATATGTCATGTTTCTATGTTATTAGTATTGTTTATTATGTCATATTAGATGAATTGTGCTAGATGAATAAGCGTAGAGCTGATATTAGTATCATATTGAAGGACTATCTTGTGTCTCCCAACACAGTTCCTAACATACGCCAGAAACAGACCTCTCTGGAAAACTTTGAATGACAGGGGTCCAATGGCTCTCAAGCTGGTCCTGGTGGCATTAAAAAACAAAGGAGGGCAGTAACCCAGGATAAGGACTTGGTACCTGAAGTCTTTATGGAGTGGGATTCCTCTTCTAAACAATTGTAAACTCCTCTATCCTCTCCCCTTCTCCATACATCACTATGTCTTCAATAAAGGTAAGTGTGATGTTATAGCTTTATTCTTCATGTATCATTGTTTTCTGTGTAGGAAAATGTAAAAAAATTATTTTGTTTAATACTTTTGGATGTCTGAAATGGATTAATTGGATTTCCATTATTTCTTATGGGGAAAATTAATTTGGTTAAGGACAAGCTCTCTGGAATGGATTAATATCGTTAACTGAGGGTCCACTGTATCAAGCAAATGTTTAATATTTTTATCCCTTCAGGAGCCTTATCATTGAAGACTCTGGGATCTTATTCTGCAAAGACAGTGATTGTGTATGAGGAATATGGAAGTGGTGATGAGTTCTATAGTTTTTAATATTTAGTGACTGCAAGTGACTGAGGATACCTGAAATATTGCTGAAAACCCCGCTGACCCTTGACTATTCACTTCTCAGGCTGGTCTGTCGGGAACACATCCAGCGAGTTTATTTAGGTACAGGTACACACTAATACAATTATCATACATAGTGTAAGTTACCTAGGATAACCCATAAAAAGTCACTAACTTTTTTGGATTATCCTAGGTAATTTACACCATGATAATTGTATTTGTTTACCTGTACCTAAATAATCTTACTGACTTATGCATGGCATTGTAAAACTAGACATGTTCCAGACAAACCTGCTGAAAAGTGGATGGTTGAGAGTCATTAAGGTTTTCAGCAATATTTCAGGGACCCTGAGTGTCACTTCCATATTCCTAATTGTTACAACTATCATTTGGGAAGAGAAGATTCTCAATTCGCCTGGGAGTGAAGTTTTACTAACCATGAGGCATGGTAAACAGAGGGTATTTAGCTAAATATGGCCTTCCATCCCTCTTAATACTCGTATCTTATCTGAGGGAGTTGAACTCAAAACATAGATCTTTGTAAGCAACCCTGGTGTCGGTAACATGGATCTATATACGAGGCAGTGAAAGGGTTAATGTCTTTAATGACAAGACTGTATAACTCCTGATTAACTGCGAGCTAATGTCATTAATTGGCCATATTTATTTTGAGTGGATGATTTTTTATTTTTGCCAGGACCATAATTTCATCAGGGAAAGAGACACTGCATTTGCATCACTGACCCATCACAATTTTCCTTTATGCATAAAATATTGCTACCCATGTTATTGTATCAAAATGTAGAAATCTTATACAGTAGGACCCCCATATCTGCAGGTGTGGTATCTGTGGTTTCAGTTATCCATGGTTTATAATGGCCTATAAATAACCTTTATTTTTGCTTAATAATGGCCTCAAAGTGGAAATTCAAGTGAAGTGCTTCCCATCATTGAAAAAGTGATAATTCTCCACTTAATGTGTGTAACTTATCAGTTAAACTTTTATAATAGGTATGCATGTAAACAAAAAACAATATAGGGTTCGTTTGCTACTATCTGGGGTTTCGGTATCCTCAGCAGGTTCTTGGGGCATATCCCCCCCCCCTCATCTCTCGCACGCATGCACACAGAGGTCCTGCTCTAGTTTAACTTTGGGATGGGATGATATTAAAATTTTTGCCTTTACCAGTATGTACTCAGTTTTAGGCTGATACTGATACTGTAGTGAGAGGGTTCTAAGAAGCAAGATCGCCAACCACCTAGATACCCATCAGTTACGCAACCCAGGGCAACACGGGTTTTGAGCAGGTCGCTCCTGCCTGTCCCAGCTACTGGACCACTATGACAAGGTCCTGGATGCTGTAGAGGATAAACAAAATACAGATGCAGTATACACAGACTTTGCAAAAGCTTTCGACAAGTGTGACCATGGTGTAATAGCACACAAAATGCGTGATAAAGGAATAACAGGAAAAGTTGGTAGATGGATCTATAACTTCCTGACAAATAGAACATCAAGAGTAATAGTAAACAGAGTAAAGTCTCAGGCAGCCACAGTAAAAAGCTCTGTTCCACAAGGCACAGTACTTGCTCCCATTCTATTCCTCATCCTCATTTCTGACATAGAGATGTAAGCCATAGCTCCGTGTCTACCTTTGCGGATGACACCCGGATTACCATGGCAGTGACCTCCATTGAAGACACCGTGAGGCTCCAAGTGGACATCAACCAAATCTTCGAATGGGCCACTCAAAACAATATGAAGTTCAACAAGGAAAAATTTCAACTACTCAGATATGGGAAACTTGAGGAAATTAAAAATGTATCAGGGTATACGACAAATTCTGACCGTACAATAGAGCGGAAAAGTAATGTGAAGGACCTGGGAGTGATAATGTCAGAGGGTCTCGCCTTCAAAGACCACAACAATGCATCTACCTCATCTGCTTGGATAATGAGAACCTTCAAAACTAGGGACGCTAAGCCCATGATGATTCTCTTCAAATCATTTGTGGTCTCTAGGCTGGAATACTGCTGTACACTAACGGCCCCCTTCAAGGATGGCGACATTGCAGACCTGGAGAGTGTACAAAGAATTTTCATGGCTCACATAAGTACGATAAGGCACCCAAATTACTGGGTGCAGGCGAGAGAGATACATGATAATATACACTTGGAAGGTCCTGGAGGGATTGGTACTAAACCTGCACACAAAAATCACTCCCAATGAAAGCAAAAGACTCGGCAGGAGATGCAACATTCCCCCGATGAAAAGCCACGAGTACATTGAGAGACACAGTAAGTGTCCAGGGCCCAAAACTCTTCAGTTGCCTCCCAAGGGGGATTACTAATAGACCCCTGGCTGTCTTCAACAAGGCACTGGACAGGCACCTAAAGTCAGTACCTGACCAACTGGGCTGTGGTTTGTACATCAGCTTGCATGCGGCCAGCAGTAACAGCCTAGTTGATCAGACCCCGATCCACAATGACACCAGGTCTCAGACCAGGCTGCAGGGGCATTGACCCCCGAAACCCTCTCCAAGTACCTCAAAATTACTTGATACCTACCGACACTGTCACTCGTAGTTTTACTTAACATTAACCTCCTGAGAGACTGTGGAAATAATTAGGAAATTAAAATTTAATGCTGCTAGGATCCTGTCAACAATCTGCTTTCACTTTGATATAGGCAAAAGTAACTTTTTGAGTTTTAAAAGCACAGTTCAAACTGATGCAGAAAAAAAGAAAAGTAACAAAAAATGGGCAAGGCAGAATTTCATTGTATTGAGATTAATGCTTGTCTGGTGGAGGTGAGTGACCATTTTCTACTTGCAGACTCATAATATTTTACTGAGGATAACATTATTGGATTTCTAAGAACAGTTACAGGTGTAAGTTATGTGCTTAGTATAGATTTTTTTTTTTTATTAGTGCAACTTCATAGTTGAGTTTTGTGCCACATCAAAGTCAGCAAATGAGTTATTATGCTCACCTTGTGTTAATGATGTGGCAGATGAAAGCTTCACAAGCTTTCTGTGATGCCTGATGTTCTGTCAGTCTTACAGTTATTAAGCTGGTGTAGCTGGTTCCCAAGAGTTGACACGTGGGGTTGCTCTCAAGTGTCTTAGTGAGGGAACATACATTTCTCAACATAATGTGCATCACAGCAAGGGAAATAAACATGATGACATTCTTTGCGATAGTTGAATGTTATGTAATACTGATGAGTTGGGATTCATTATAATACAGCCTCTCCTCGCTTAGCGACGTACTCATTTACCAATGACTCGGACTTACAACAGGCTCTCTGACCAGTAGTCATACCTAAATAATGTATATTAGAGCTGATTTCCTCTTATTTTGTTTATTACAATATACAGTGCATTACTGTATAAACATTTAAAATTTACTAAAAATGATATAAATGGTGCCATTAAAATTTCAAAGATGGTTGACACACACCCACTACCATTACAGTATGCTCCTCATTTAGTGACGAATTCGTTTACCGATGTGGTCTTAGGAACGGAACTCCTTTGTTAAGTAAGGAGAGGCTTTATTTGTCTTTCATTATAAAAATGTATACTTTGGTTGTATTGTGTTGTGATCCAACAATCGTAACTGTAGGTAGTAGGTTGGTAGACAACCAACCATGGAATTACTACCATTCTGCCAGATGTGTAAAATGGAAACTTGTAATCATTTTGCACACTGGTAGGATTGCTGGTCTTTTCTTCAGTTTTTGGCAAGATGTGGGTTTTTATAATTACTGCAGAACCTATAGGGACCTAGGGAAATTTATAAGTTTTGAATATAAATTAGATTTTTAACTTGGCATGATACTGTTTGTGTTGAGCCTTTTATTTGTTTATGGTTTTTACTATTTGTTAATTTCATCTTTGTATTGTCTGTATTGTATTCATTTTTATTGCTAAGAGCACTAAGTGACTTACATAGTCAAGGCACTTTGTAAAGCCTTAAAAACTACTTTGTTCAGCTTACTATGATGTATCATGCTATACCAGTCTGCTGAAGCCCCTATTACTCTTACTTCCATCCTCCAACCCTCTCCTAGATGACCCCCTACCTTTGTTTCCTTCAACCCTGTTTATACACTCTCATCATCATAACCCTTTCCACCCTCTTTTGAATGTGCTTTAAATTTAGGGTGATATATATTGTTTATAATTCTAGACATACTGATTATAGGTTTCTCATTCCATGTAATCTTTTAGTATTAAGTTGTTGGTAATGGAAATGTACTGTATTGTATTATAATCCTATCAACAGTGTTTCATAACTGAAGTGATCTAAATTCTTTAACTTTTAATCATTGCATACTACATTCAGTGGATGGAATTTACTAAGAATAGAAAAATCTTCCATTATCCATGTTGCTGCAACTAACTTTTTTTTTTCAATTTTCAGAAATATGTCCCATCTGAACAGCGCAAAAAGGATCAGGCTGTGGTTGATAAGCTGATTGTGTCTGCAATTAAGAAGAGGGAAGATAAGAAAATGCTCTTTGGATATCTGGGCTCTGTTTTCACGCTCAGGAATAAAATGTATCCTCATAGATTGTCATTCTAAATAAATGGCACTTAAGAAATGTGTGTTAATGTTCTAGATCTTGCTTTTTTTTTTTTTTGTGCATGCTCAGCTTTTACCCTTTTGAGCAGTTCAAGCAAAAATTATCTGAACTAGTTCTTGCATGTTCTCAGCCTTGCAGTATAAAGAATTTTATCCATATTTGCAAGTGAAGGTCTTCCATTAAAGACAGGTGTCATGTAGTGGAGATACGAGTGTTATCTGGAGTTCGTTTTGATAGCCAAGTGAGAAACGTTTCATCAGATATTGCAAGGATTCGTAGCAAATTGCCATTACATTTTGATTGAAGCTGAAGCACTGTAATTTGGTAAGTCATTGATAGTGCTATATGACCTTTACAGGTTTAGCACCTGATTTGATTATTTCATTATACATGGGTGAGTGTGAGTTGGACCTGACTAGCTTGTGCTACTGGGTCTGGTGCCGTGCTCCATCCTTGAGTGGACTTGCTCTGCATGGAGGAAACATTGGGAGGCAGCTAATCTGTTTATGATCTTGGGGCTAATGGAGGGATATATACAGTAACAGAGGGCCTGGGAGCAGCCAAAGGTTCACAAGGATGAGTATCTTCTGATTCATGTTTGATCTTAGTCAGATGCTCTTCATCACAGACCATGGGTGGGTCAGTCCCCCACTTTGAGCTGCCACATTGCATAATTGCTGCTCATGTAAGCCCAAGATCCACATGGTGGACAATATAAAGCTGGTGAATTGAGTTTGGCTAGCAAATACATAGATGCACAGAACCCATCACTGGACTGCATGGTGAGCCATGTGATTTAAATGGACAAGACTGACCATCCCATTTTACCAATATCAACATCCAGCTGTATTGCCTACTGAAAGCTACAAATGTAGTGGCTAACTTATTTTTCCAGGCAAGTAGAAATGAGTACTGTATATGGGTCTACATGCACTGGACAGCTTTTAGTTTAGCTCATGCTGTAGCAAGTGAAGTCTCAGCCAGTGCAGCTGTAAGCAAGGAGGAATAGTATTTGTCCAACAGAATAGTTTGCCTTCAGAACAAGAAAAAAAAAGGTTTGAAATTTTTCATTAAAGGATTTCAGTCATTTTGAACAAAAGAATTAGCCAGACAAAATGGAAAAAACAGTAATTCTGGATTTTTGCTCTTAGCAATAGTGTGTGGTTTCTTCTGAAAAATCAAACCAAGCCTGATGTCTGATGGTTATCTGGCACAGGCCAGAGCAGCCACTTGCAGAACGTGTGTTTTCATTATTCCTGAGCTGTAGGGCTCTTGCACATGCTTGTCATTGTCTCCAACATTCCGTGTTTAGTGTTGTGCGACCATTAACATTGGCTGTCTCCCACTGAGGCAGGGTGCAATTAACAATGGATTCTAAAGCAGGTGATGGTGCCAAGAGGAAGCCTGTGGTTCTCAGTGTTAACCATAAATGTGAACTAATAAAGGTTGAGGCAGTCATTACAGTGGTATGGGTATGTGGTGTTCAGAGACAAGGACTGATATCCATAGTATTATGCAAGGACAAACTTAGACCCTAATGTTTAAAATAGATGCTAGTGAAAATTTACAGCTCTAACTTGGATATCTACCATGAAAAGGTAAATAAAATTATTGTAAATTATATTCAGTTTTGATCTTGCTACCCAATACCCCTGCCCTGCTGTGCTATATGACCTTTATAGGTTTAGCACAATTTTTTAGAACCCCCCCCAAAAAATATATATAGTACTAGAGGTTATACCTGACTTAGTGTCTGGTTTAAAAGACAACTGGATGATAGTGACAATTTAATTTTGCAACTCGAAAGTTTTGGAAATGTACACCACCTCCCTCCTATTAGAGGATTCACTGATGTCCATACAGGAAAATGGTGAGGTACTAGATGGATACCAAGATGTTTTGAAAACATTTTTCATGATAAAAATATGAGTATAGTTATCAGCTATTGTTCAATAATGCTATATGATCTATATGGGTTTTTGTGGATACAGTATAGAGTGAAACAGACTAATGGGTAAGTCTGCTTTAATGAAAATCCATCTTGTCAAGGGAGGTGTTGTGATGCTGGTGAGGGAGCTCTTGATCTGAAGGACCTAGACTTCACTTCCCTTTCCTCGCATTGAACTGGTGCTATGTGATCCCCAAATATTTAGTACTCGCATGAAAAATGATAATTGTATTGAAGTGCAGCAGACTGTCCTCTGCATTGATAACAAATGTAGTAGACTTGGTTGGGTGCATTGATAATTTAAATTGACAGCCTCTGCAGCTGACTTGCCAAGCACTGACATAATTTTTTTTTTGTCCATTTATCTGAAATTTGTTGCCAGTGATACTTTGTCCCAAGGTTTCACTGGGTTAAAGAACATTTTCCCCAGTAAGGGAGAGTCCCTGATGCCAGTGAAAGGCTTCTGCTCCCTGTGGACTGAACCTGCCTCCCATTTCCTTGGCAAAACTCATGAGTACAAAAACTTTAATATAAAGGTCAGAAACAAAATATTTTATCCATGATTTATTCACATTTTTCTATACAATACCTATATATATAGTGTTAAATAATGGTGTTGAAGAGCATGACATAAGATTGTACATGATAACTAAGTGTCTACAGATACATCAACTTTCACTCTGGCAAGGATACACTTCTTATTCTAGTACTCAAAATATGCAATACAGTACTTTAATACTATACCAAAGAACGATAAATGATCACTTGAAGGTTTCCTCTTTCTTCAATGGCTTCCCTGTGAATATAATTACTTCAACTCTATAAGTAAGGTAAATTAAATTACTTTCTGTAAATTTTAGTAAGGAGGTCACTATATTTAACTGGAACCATAACTATGGTTCCAGTTAAAAATTACATACCTCTATTTTTACCATCTTCCTTAAGATAATCTTCAGATGATCTAGGAGTCTTATTTAATTTCAAATAAAAATATTTTATACATTTTACAAAAATATAATTACAGTGCTAAGAGTTCTTCCGTCATCGGAACTTTTAGGTTAACCTGAACACACAGCAACTACAGCTGTGACTGACCAAACTATGAATACTGACTAGCATGCATCTGGCATGAGGTCAACCTCACACTCGGGGTTTTGCCAATATTGTTTAAAAAAATAATGTTTTGGTAACTATTTACAATACATGCAATATAGCACACTACCATTTGATACTCCTTTCATAGCAAATTTCTCTAGAAGCTAACTAGGCATTCTTTAACCCGTAAACGGTCCAAACGTATACGTATATACATTCTCTCCCGTAGTGCCCCAAATTTTTTGAGGAAAAAAAAAAATTTTTAATAGGAAAAAAGAGCATACGGTACCCAGGCATCCCCAATTATTTTAATATGGCACACAGTGAGTGTGCACACCCATTCTCTTATGTCTAGGTGACTCAGGCTTATCGTGGCAATGTTGAATGTATGACAAATAAAATGTATATATACATTGGGGGCACTAGCGGTAAAAACGTATATATACATTTGGACCATTTACGGGTTAAACCAAAACGAGATTATTTTCAGTACTATCTTGAACTTACATAAACTCGTAATTCATAATAGGTTGAGTGCTTTTTTGATTATAATAATTATAATTCATAAACATTTCGTGTAACTGACATGGGGATTGTACTGGTGAGTTTAGGATACCTTATAAACATGATTTTTGTAAGGAAATGTATAACAAAAATTACCACTTGAATTAGCTGGTATTATGTGAGTGCTTTTAAATGTCCTTGTACCTTCCTTTGATGATAATGTTTACTTTGTGGGTTGTTAGCCTTCAAGGGAGGTACCTAGATTCTGGTGAGGGGTTCTTAATCCAAGGAACTAGACTGATCCTCTTCCTTGGATTAAATCTGACTCGCATTCTCAGCACTGTATGACCTACGATGTATGCATATTGAGCCTAACATTGGTAAGACAGTATCAGTCTTCCCCCCTCCCATTGCTTGGGCATGCCAGGTATACTGCATCACTTACACGTTAATGTTTGTAAAAATCCTAATGCAAAAAGGGCTCTGTTCCAAGGAATTGGACCTACTCTTGCTTTGGACGAATTATGACTACCTGCTATATACCAAGTGTTCAATTTTACCATGTTTGTTAGTACTGTAATTACTGGAGTTTTGACAATCAACTAATGGTTATTTTAATTTGTTGTGATGGTAATTTGTCTTGGGTGTTTTATTCAGGCTATTGTTCAGTACTGTTTGACCCTTAAGGGTTTAGCACTCCACATGAATATAATAATTGTTCAATTTGATCTGTTACCTTTCTGGTGTTTTAATAACCAAGAATGCTAAATTATCTGCATGAGCAAATTTCAAAACTAAGTTTTAGAATTAAAATTTTCTAAAATTGCTGGACTTTTTTTTTTTTGAGAGTAGTATTGCAAAATATGAAAACTATATTTTCATATTTTTTCCTTATAATGCAGTTTAAAGAGTATTTCTGATTTGGATTTAACAATATTCCAAGAATAAAAATAGTAATATCCCTGATTCAAGGAACTGGACTTATCATTCCTTTCCTTGGATCAAACCCAATTGCCTCGCATTCTTCAGAAGATATTAATAAACACTTCCTGATCAACAAAAAATTTTATTCTGTTCTCGGCGACTTGAGTTTTACATGTGAAACTTTTCAATGTGACAAATCTTCTTCATTTATGCTGCACGTAACAGAAATTTGTTCAGCGTGTGTAACACAAGTATCAATATCAGCCAGTCAAGAGATTCATGACTAAAAGATGTAGCAACTGAGGAGGATAAAGGGGAGGCAGATGTATGTAAACTGGAGAACTAAACCACATGGAGACTAAAACAAGAAAAACATCCATGTATATTTTGACAACCAACTGAGGTCCTTTTCAGAAGCTCAAAATATACACCTGTGTTTGTGTCTGTTATTTTTGTCTTGTTAACAAATGTTCATTATGTGTTGATGTACTTGTGGGTTTAGAACTTAGCCTTGATTGTAATAATAATGTTAATGTACTTGTAGTAT